TCCAATTAATTACAATATATATATATATATATATATATATATATATATATATATACACATATATATATTTATCAAGAATCAAATTCTTATAAATAATATATTTTCATCAAGTTGTTGTTAGTGTGACCCTATAGGATCATATGTTATTAGCAATATCATTATATAATGACTCTTGGGCATACAAGATCTTTCAAAATGATCCTACTCTAGAGCCACAACTATAACGCCCGTAGATCCGGGCTAGTCAATTTAGAGATAATAAGGGTCGAAAACGTCTTTTCGACAAAAAGATTATTTCAAATAAATAATCTTAACCAAGTTGTAGAATATGTCTCAAGGGTTCCGTACATATATAGAACGCCGAAATCCGAGTTATAACGAAGAAGTTATGGCCCGTCGAAGTTTTCGGCAAAACCGGCACGGCACCGGAAGACGTAAATAGTGAATTTACAATAGAGGACTTTTTAGCCTTAGTGATCTAAACAAAAGTTGTAGTATATGTTAAACCGAGAACATCCATAAAAAGAACGCCCAAATCTGACTTCGTATGAGGAAGTTATGAATTTTCTAAGATTTGACATAGTAGTGCACGACCCGAAACTCGAATTTTAGTTCGAGCGGTTTTTGGCTTACGCAACCTAAATGAGAGTTGAAGATCTCATTAATAGGAACTCAACGGTAAAAAGACAGACGAAAACGAAGTCTGTATGAAGGAGTTACGAATTCTTCGTGGTCATTTAACAGTCTAATCTCATCCTACTGTTAAATTTAAGATCGGTCGAGAATTAGCCGATAGAGTCTAAATGAAAGTTGTAGATCTTGTTTTTACCTACGCGTGGAAAAAAAGAACGTCGAAAACGGAGCTCGTATACGAAAGTTACGGGGTTTAGAAGTCGGCAGGGTGCTGCTGCAAAAGAGGTGACGTGGCTGATTATGGGCCAAGACTTTCTCCCCAAGGCAAGCCACCAGAAGGTGACATGTGGCATGGACTCGACGAGTAGAGCTATTTTCCAGCCTATAAATAGAGGTGTCGGGTTCCCTCATTCTTCACACCATTCCAACCTCTTTTCTCTCTCTCTCTCTCTCTCTAGAACCTCCCTCTAGCCCCTAAACCCCCCAAAAAGCCTAGGGAACCTCCCTAGCACCCGAAGGAAGCCCCGAGGCTCCCGGAGTCCCGAGAAAGGAGCCTTTCGGCTCGGGAACGCTGCCCCGACGAAGCCCGATTTTTGAAAAAAACCCGCTGTAAGTGCGCTACGCCTAACCTATTTTTAGTATAGCTTATGTTTTAATATAGTAATGTTATTAGGACCTTATAATATATGTTTGGGCTATTATTATGAGTTATATAGTGTTGTTTAACGCTTATATAATAATAATAATAATAATAATAATAGCTAGACTATTAATTAGTCTCGGTTAATGTTAGACTAAACCCTAGTGGTATTGATACTAGGTTTTGTCAAGGGAAAATTGTTTTGAGATAACGAAGCGCTGTCCGAGTTCCGAGTCACCACTTTTCAGGTGAGTGTATAGTTACTTTCATCTTACACATAGATATGAAGTATTTTATATAAATTACGTGCAATGTGTGTATACTGCCTGAATACTTGTTGTCTATGCTGGATGAAACGTTTTATACATGTTTTAAATGATCTAAACTGTATATGTATTTTATATCTACAAAATGTGTTGGGTAAAACATGGGTAGATTAGAGGTGAGATAAATGATGAGCGATGAAAGATGAGATGAACGATGAGTGATGATATATGAGTGATAAAATATGGTGCGAAGCGATGAGCCAAAACGATGAGCCAAAGCGATGAGCCAAACGATGACCCAAGCAATGGCCCCGTCATCTAGCAGAGTATGGATGACAACCACAGACTATTCTAGACAGTCTAGTGGCACACTAGCAGGCTCGCAACCTGTAGGTGTTGTGAACAATGTGTTCACCTGGTGTACTCTAAAAACCCATAGACAGGTATTACGAGTGGACTCTCGAAAATGATACTGATAATAAACGAGATAAACCCTAACGACTATGCAGACTTAGTGCCGATTCCTTAGGATACTCCTTAGGAATGAATGATCGAGGAATAGCTGAATCTTAGGGTAGACCCTTAAGAGTAAAGAAGTTAATGGGGATGGGTAATTGGGTTGATTGTTTGATGTTTAAACATAATAATTATATTATTGTGGGTTGAAAACCCTATGTACTCACCAGGTTTCCCAACCTGACCCACTCCAGCTTATTTCTATCACATGTGTCGATATGAAGCTACTTTACACTGAGAGATTTAAAAGAGATGTAGATCACTAGTGTAAATGAATGTAAGTTCTGTTTATGCTTTGATAACGTATTTATCATGTTCTTCTGGGAACAAATTCTGCAACATTTTTATTAAAAGAGGTACTCTTGATTTTTATAAAGCATAAACAAAATCGGTCTTTTCTGGCCGTGAAAATGGGGATGTCACAACAACCAAACAAGGAACATGCAAGAAACCTTAGATCAAGAGTTCTCAGGCTATCCTACATGACTACATACAGTCCCTGGGGGACTCCACTAGATGATAACCAGCAAGTACAGGTAGACATACATATATACAGATCCCTACCACATAGCAACATCCCACATACCAGGATATAGATCTAACATATCATTACATCATAACAACATCCTATATACCAGGATACAGATCTAACATATCACTACAACATAACAACATACTAAGTACCAACAATCAAAGGAATACATGACCGTATATACTCAGAGGTGAGATAGACACCCGAACAAGTGATCCTACTCTAGAGCCACAACCATACAAGGAACAGGCAAGAGAGCCTAAATCAAGAGTCATCAGTCTATCTTACATGACCATATATACAGTCCCTATGGTATCCCTCTACTAAAAGATAACCAAAACTAGTGGGTCGTCATTGGTGCCTTCGAACCACGGGTACAATGAGGCAAAACTCACCTGAATCGAAGAACTCTGAAACACTGCGATACTATGCCTTTTCAGCACTGCTTGCACCCACGAATCCACTAGTCACCAGAACCAAGTAAAATCTTAATCAACAGCCCAAAACCCTCAAATTTGACTTTGAGTCAAACTTGGTCAAAAGTTAACGGTCAACGCCAAAGTCAACTACAGCAGGTCGCCATGCCGTGGACATCCTTGGCCACGTCGTGGACACTAAACGACAAAACAAATGGGCCTCGACATAGTCGCCACATCGTGGTGACCTGAGCCACACTGTGGGGATTGGTATGGGCAGCTTAAACCATTAAGTCACTTTCATTTCCAACTTCAAGGGCTCCAAACTCATATCTGGTCCTTTCTAAGGTCTTAGTGGATAAAGTTTCCAACTTTATCCCTTTAGACCCTCCAAGGGATAAATATCTCACTCCTAGCTCTAAATAGGGCAAAAACATGACATGACTTAATCAATAAGCACTTAACCTAGAAGATCTATTGACCAACAACTCCATAAGGGTTTCTAGTACCATTTCCATCATAAAAAATTCATGCTTTTCATGCATGCATGTCCAGTGCATGCCTTGAACTCTTATTAGGTCAAAACAAAGGCAAAAAAGGCCAAGATTCCTTGCATGGTCTTAAAACTCAATTCTACTTTAGATCCAAAGAGCCAAATACTCCAAATGGCCTAGGGATTCATAAAGTTGCAAACTTTATGAGATCCCACCCTCCCAAATCCACAAGATATGAAGAAAAGGGACCAAAATCCAAAATCTACCAACTTAGCAAGGAAAAGATTGAGTCTTGAACACTCAACCAAGTCCAGAAGATGTGCTAGAAGATGTATGTTGCTTACAAGGTGATAAACCACACCAATGACTTCCTTCTCCTTCAAAGAATACCAAGAAGGCACCAAAAATGGACTTTCAAGAGTGATGGAGGATAGGGTTTCGAGATGAAGGGATGAAGGCTGAAGAAGGTGACCTAAAATGGGGGTTAAGATGCTTAAATATAGATGAAACCCTAAAATACGTGGGCTTGGGACTGAACAAGCGCCACACCGTGGTCATCCATTGCAACGCCATGGCGGCACTCGAAAACACACGTTCGATAAGTATCACGCCACATCATGGACATCTAAGCCCCACGTCATGGCTGAGGGTCTGCTCCAAAAAAAATCCTTATTTGATTCCTCAAGTCTTGGCCCGCCATCTTCGGAAAACAGTATGTTACAATTGTATGATAAATTAACCTTGTTTTGGACTTTAGGACCATATTTTCTCATTTTTAAACTTAAAAATTGATTTGATGTAAAATAAAATGATTTTGTAACTTATTTTACAAACAACATAGCATGTAGATAATGATTTTCCTTTAAGGTTGGCTAAAAAGACACTTTATTTTACCATGATATTGCTAAATAGAAACTTCATGGATGCCATTTATTAAAAATCAATCTATGATTAACTACTTATAACTAATTTTTTTCGAAAAACAATGCAATTTCAACCAATAAAAATAATTGAATATCTGAATGGATAATGTGATGTCTTTTTAATCAACCATTTTTACCATATGACATCTTATTTAGTTGTTTTTGAAGTATATATATATTTTTTGAAATTGTATTGTTTTCCGAAAAAATTAGTTATAAACCGTTATAAGGCTAAAAAGAATGGTATTGTGATTCTTATGCGTTTAGGGCTGCCACATCATCTAAATATTCACTTCACCACATGTCTACTAGTTTTGGGGATGATGTTCACTAGTGAAGAGCCAAGAGAGAGAGAGAGAGAGAGAGAGAGAGAGAGAGAGAGAACTTCCATGATAGCTATCATTCTACAAGACAACCACTAGGTTTTGAGGTGGTATTCACTAGTGAACATCTTGTCGCATAAGATCCACACAGATTCTTACCCATAAAAATGCTTCCATATACCCGAGGCCTAATTAAATTATTTTTGAAGATTATATTATCCATACCTCCGATGAGAATCATATTATTAAAAAGATTTATGAAATTGATGGTCGAACAAACGAATGCCATCCGTATGTTCTTTTTGAATTCAATACAATACATACGTGTAGCGATATGAAGGGTGGCATAAACCCTAGTCTGCCCTCTTCTAGGCCTTACCAGTAACCCTTTACCACAACATACTGTGTAATTACAAATGTCACCGCTTCGTGACTTTAACAAATCCCTCATCTTTTCACAGACAGCTTCCCCCTTCACCTTTGCTATAAGCCTATGACACGATTATCCTCTTCATTTTCCCCCAATTTCTTAAAATCAACATTTGTTTGTTTGTTTTTTTTCAGTTTTAATCAAAGTTTCAACAGGGTAATAAAACCCCACCTACTTTGATAGCGATTAATTCAAAAAAAATATCACTCAAACTCGATACAGCTTCTTTCATGGTCTAAAGATTCTGCTTTCCTACAGGTATTCCTTCTCTCTGATACTTTGATTCGATTTGTGTGTGTAGATTTAGGGTTCTGTGTATGTTTTCATGAAAATTGTGCAAAACCCGTATGGATTTTGTGTCGGTTTCGTTGATTTTTAGTGGGTTTGTCAGTGGGGTTTGAGGAGTTTTAACTAATAGCAAGCTTTTGTTGTCAATGGCGGTTTTCAAAACCCTAAAAGTGGGTTTTCCTTTTTCGATTGATGGAAGTATGGAATCATTTCCTATACTTTCGAGTTTTATCTGTTTTTCTTCTTTAGCTTGTTTGTAATTGGTTTTTCTCCGAAGCTGTTGGGTAAATCACTAACTCTTGACGTGTTTTGTTTATTTTGTTTCTAGAAATGGAAACCATGGAAGGTAACAACATAACAACTGAAACCCTAGGTGGGCTTTCTTCATCTTCTCAGCCACCCGCCCCACCTCATACAACCTCGAAACCAACTCCGGAGGAAATATTCGGTGGCGACTTTGGGTCGAAAAACGGCAGCGGCGGCAGTGAGGTCGTTGTTACGACGGTCGTTGAAAAGACTGAGGTGACTATCGTCAAGGTAGTTCAAGAAAACAAAGATGACATCGTCATGTTTCAAGAAGGAGAAGCTTTCAGCCACTCTGTTACAGAGAAAACAGAGAATAACATTGAAGCTAAAGTGAACGAGAAGGAAGGGGCTTTTGGTCATTTGCTTGATGGTAATGTGGGCATGAACTTAAATTACAACAACGATGCTAAAGAGAGTGAGAAAGAAGGGGCTTTTGATCATTTGTTTGATGGTGATGAAGGTATGAACATAGATTACAACAATGAGGCTAAAGAAAAGGAGAAAGAAGGTGTTTTTGATCATTTGTTTGATGGTAACGAGGGTATAAACGTAAATTTCACTGATGAGAAGTTGGTTGCTGGTGAGGATCTGATGGATGTCTGTTTACCCGATCATAAAGAGAAAAAACCCGAAAACATTGCTGGTGTCTTTGAATTCACAGATGATATGAACGAAGAGAAGAACAATGAAGGAAATCTTGAAAATGGAACCAAATTAGCAGAAAACAATGAAAGTGAAGAAGAAGAACATGATTTTGTGGTGGGTGATTTTGTATGGGGCAAAATCAAGTCTCACCCATGGTGGCCGGGTCAAATATACGACCCATCAAACGCATCAGATTATGCAAACTCTATAAAAAGAAAAGGTCATCTCTTAGTTGCTTATTTTGGTGATGGATCATTTTCATGGTGTTCACCCTCTCAACTAAAACCATTCATCGATCACTTTGAAGAAATGTCAAATCAAAGCGACTCCAAGAAGTTTGTACATGCGGTTCGAACCGCTCTCAAAGCGGTTAACCATCTTGTCGAATCGGAACTGACCAGTAAATGTCAAACCGTTGACCGGGCTGCCCGGGTTCCCAATGTTGACATGGCGAACAGTGGGATTAAGCCTGGGGTGGAGGTCCCAAAAGGGAACACGATTAGGGTTTTGATCGATCGAATGAACCCGATTGAGCTTCTTTTGAAGTTGGACACGTATGCTACTATTGACCCTGGTTTGAAAATGGTTGAGCTTGAACTTGAACTAACCGTGGTTAAAAGCTGGTTGGGTGTGTTTTATTTACAAAAAGGCGGTTACTTGCTTCCGGAATACCATGATCCGATGTGTATCGAAGGTCTTGAAGACAAGTCAAGGATCGGAATCAACGATTCCGAAGTAAACGGGCCGTCGGAATGTGGAGAGAATGGTGACGATAAGTTGTATCAGAAAAGGAAACAGAAAAGCGTGGCGGAGCTTTTGAGCGTCGAAGATGAGCCGCCAAAGATGAAGAAAGCGAAACCGGTGAAAGAGAGTGGCGGTTCGGGGAGGAAACGCAAGGCGGCGCTGGTAGTGGCGGTGCCGGAGTCACCGGAAAGTGACGGCGGTGGGGAGGACTCGATGTGTTCGCCGCGCCAGAGGAAGAAAAGCAAGTATTTGTCGCCGCCGTATTTGAGTCCGGTTTGGAGTGGGAAGCTGTCAGGTTCGGGTTCTGGTTCTTTCAAAGAACCAAAACCCGAACCTGAAAAGGAAAAGGAAAAGGAAAAAGAAAAAGAAAAAGATTCTGAAGCTACTGATAAGCAGGTTGAGGAGTCTTCTTCTTCTTCTAGAAGGAAGCCTCGTCAGAAGAGACGTGTGCGTGAAGGATCAGATGATCAGGAGGGTAAAATCGTAATTGATGTGAATGTGAATGTCGACAAGGTTTTGAATGGGTTGTTACTTGCGGCACTTGATCCTTCGGGTTCTGTGGAGAAGAAGAAGCTTGGGGTTGTGACCCGGTTCGTTTCGTCCTTCCGGAGCTCCATTTTTGAAAATGGATCTGAATATAAACCCGACCCAGAGGTGGAGGAATCGGATGTTGGGTTTGTGAAGAGGAAGATTGAGGAGATGAGGGAGATGGTGAATGGGTGTGAAGAAGAAGATGAGATGAATGGTGAGGTGAAGGGGAGATTGGAAGGGGTGATAATGGAGGTTCTTGAGAGGGTGAAGAAGTAATTAGGTTTTGGTTTGGTGTTTTGTTTTTAGAAATTTCAAGGGTGGAAATAGATTGATTATCTGTTTTTCTTTTGGTTGAATTAGTATTTAGTATTTAGTATTTAGTAAGTAGTACTGAATCTGAATCTCATAAGCACTTAATGGTTTTTTCTGTGACTTATTTATGTAGGAGTTTTACTTTTACATGTTTTTCTGGTTTTAACCAGGGTTGCAAATGGGTTGAAAAAATTTATGTTTTATTATAAAGCAAATATGATTCGGATTCTCGATCAAGAAAATGTTGAAACATACAATGAGAATTCAGTTGAATTCTTTATAAGCTGTAGGTGTAGGTTTGGAGCTTGCTTTTTGTACCTGAGTTTGGCAATAGTCGACACAAACAAACCCGAGTTGAGTTTGAGCTTTAAATGTATTCGATAAAAATTTGGTTTGTGAGTTGATTGCTACAATACTTTGAATTCTTCAGAGTATTTAGTATTTACGTTGAAAATAAAATAAAATGAAAGAACACATTGTTTAATTGTAAACTTTATAAAATACAAATAAGTATAGAAAATAAATGAGTGTAATACATAATTGTTAAGATTTTGATCTAAAGGTCCTCCCAACGAAAAACGATCCCGATTACGTTAGTATTAGTGACTATCGTAAGCAAAATCTATAATTGGATATTATCATCTCAACTAGGATTTTAAAATCTTAATATGATGCAACATGTTTAGTATTTATTATATAAGCAAATCTAAAAAAAATTGTCCGTTTTAGTTGAAATCAATCATTGCATGTCGCAAGAAGTCTCATAGAGTATCATCACTTAATCCATTCACCCCTAATCAAATAGATCATCATGCACTCATATTATTCGTTTTGTAATTTTATGCGTTTTAGTTGTACATGATCACAATTATCTTGTTTCTTTATCTGCTAAAGACATTAAGTTATAATGAGTACTACATAAACAAGATATTGATGACAAATTTAAAGACTAGTTCATCTTTGTACAATCTTTCAATCCTGATTAGATCTTATGATTAATGATCTTGTAAAATATTAAGCAATCATACGTTCAATCCCAGACTATGTTTTCTTTATAATAGGTCACAATCTTGTTTTAGTTCATTAATATAGAATAACAAACACACTTAGATTGCTATTTTATAAAAATTCCAAGATCATATTATATACATATAAGATAATAAAAAAAAAATAGAAAAAGACAAAAAAAATACTAAAAAAACCTTACCTAACTTATCTCAAAATTTAATGAAAACATACAAAATAAATAAATAAATATTAAATTATGGCACGACATGGTTTGGGCCTTGGTATCGTGTAAAGGCATCTCAATTGTTTTTTACCTTCTTTTGGTACTATCATCCATTCCAACTTGTTTCCATTTTTATCACCATGGTAGGTATAAATAAATTGTATAACACATGAACACTAGATGTTATACTATTTATTTATACTAAAATTGAATCAAAATTTCAATTATATTTTGTGTCTTTTATTTTAGATCTACATCTTTGGTTTGTTTTAAGTAACTAGTTACAATTTAAATGTAAATAACAAATTATATATTAATTGATATAAATTAATCATAAATATAATGTTTGATATTCATATTTCGAATTCATTTAAATATTTAACTACGATTACAGTAACATATTTTATAAAAAACTTCAATATACATACATCTTACAATACACATAGTATAATTTTTTTTATTGTAATAAAAAGATGAATACATATTTGATATTTAATTTGTTAAAAGCTAATTCATAGAATAGTGTTTTTGACATTCTGTATAAGTTATAAAAAATTATAGACAATTGCAAAAATGATCTTTATGTTTGTCAAAATTATGTGATTGGTGTATCAGTGGTTCAATTTTGGATACTTTGTGTGATTTTGATCCATATGGTTGACATTTTTGTATGATTTTAGTCCACACCCAACCTGAAATGATGAATATTCCCTAAAATTATTATTTTTATTTAAATTCTTTTTGTCAATTCATCATGCCTAGTACCCAACCATACACCTCTGTCGATCTTCCTTCTTCTTTACTCTCTACCATAACCTACACTACTGGCCTTTCCCCCGGCGATGACAGCAACCCTACCTCCCATCGCCTAAACTGCAAATTTCTCATCGATGAACTACTCCCCTTCATCGCCAAAGTATGAGTTAATCGGAGCTAGGGTTTGCACCAAACAATTTAGGGTTTTTGATAATTAATTGTGGTGAAGTCTGTGAGGAATCCGGAAAATGTGGGGGTTCGAATCATACACAAGAAATCGTGAGCGACGTCGAATGGGTGGGGAAGTTTCATCAGGTGAGGAAGGAAAGATGAGGGTGAGGGTGGAATTGGATGTTTGTGGTGGACGGTAGTGGCATTCGGTAGTGATCGTGGCGGTGGCTTTAATCATCGCCCACCCCCAACAAGCTCTGGCAAGAATCGCAGTGCTCCTCCGGCTACAATGAGAAACCCAGCTTCCCTACTTATTCATCATCGCCCACCCTAACAAACTCCAATGACATAGCTTTAGACCCAAGATGCAAACTACATCGATGTGATTGACCTCCCACCGTCGCTTCTTCGGTACAAACACCGCCCACCCTAAAAGGCTCTACCCTAACAAGCTCTGGCAAGCATCATTGTGCTCCTCCGATACAAACACAGCCCCACCGATGCTTGTTCATCAGCTCTCACTTGTGAGTTCATCTTCTTCACCTCTCTACTCTGAAACGTGAATCAAATAAAAAAGATGTAGGTTCTGGTTTAAGTTTCTTTTAAGTTTCAGGTTTTAACTCCAACTTTGTGTACTTGTGAATTTTTGTTTATAGTGTTTTGATTTCATCCTTGGTTTCTGATTTTAATTGATGAAATTTTTCCGAGCATGATATGCAGGTTTAACTTGTGGGTTTAGGCAGCCCTTGCATCTATCTGGGAGTGTGATTTTTGGGAACCGAATACGATTTCTTGGCACTTGGTTTAAATCGGTAAAGAAGGGGAGCTGAGTTGGTGGTTTCCGGCGAAAGAGGGGAAAGAGAGAACAGTGGGGTGGGTTGGCTATTTTTTTAATTTCTAAATAATTTTAGGATTACAATAATTAAAAAATAGAAAAAATAAAATATAAGGGCATAATAGTCTTTTCAAACTGATAGAGAGCAGAAACACAAAAAAAATCCAAAATTGGACCATTGAAGCACCTCCCAAACTTTTTGGAACAAAACCACATAATTTTGACAAACTTTTTGGAACAAAACCACATAATTTTGACAAACACATGGAACAATTTTGCAATTTTGTCAAGACTATATAATAAGGAATATATTTTTTGATGTAATGTTAGAGACTAGAAAAGACATAAATGTCATTGTCATCCCTAAAAAGCTTGTACAGTCTAGTTACATATAACAAAAGCAGCCTTGAAAACATAGTTGTATAACAACTTGGCTAGAAAAAAGGAACTCATAGGTCTTACAGATACACACAGCTGAATCTCCATAAAAAAAGACAAACCAGGAAAGAGGATTGTAGAGAAGATTTTACTTATTTTATTAATAGTAGCTTTTAGAGGAACAATCAATCATCTACAGGATCATGAGGGGTCTCTTCTGCACTGCGTTTGATTGTTACAACTGGGCATTCACAGTGCTTCACACAGAATTCACTCACAGTTCCCACAAATACCCTGTTGAAAATAATGAAATTCAATGAAACAGTAAATTACTAAAATGCCCTTGATTAATAACTTAAGTAACATACCTCTGGAAGGGACCAAGCCCTCTGTTTCCAACAACAAGGAGGTCTGGTTTGACTCTTTTGACCTCATGGCAGATTACTTCTTTGGCGTCACCCCTCTTCACCCATGCTTCACAAACAACCTATCACAATTACCAATTTATTGAATTATGCTCAAATATTATTCAAAAGTGTGTGTGTGTGTGTGTGTGTGTGTGTGTGTGTGTGTGTGTGTGAGAGAGAGAGAGAGAGAGAGAGAGAGAGAGAGAGAGAGAGAGAGAGAGAGACCCCTATATCATGACATCTGTTCACAAAGAACTCCAGCAAATGAGATCCATTAATCTTGTCTTTACGATTTGCATCTTTAAAATCTTGTGGTGAGGCGTATATACTATCAACATCATCAAAACCTACCAAAACATAAATGAAAAAAACGAAATGGCATCAGATATATTATATGAAAGTCAATATGGATAACCATTACAAGTTACAACCAGCATTCTTCTCAGTTTGTGTTAGTTGAAGACAAATACAATGGAAACAAGATGAAAACATGCAAGAATAGGCACTAATCATGACTGGGAAGAAACTGAATCCAATAAGTAACTCCATTTTACCAAAATATCCACCCAATAAAAGCCCTAATTTGATTCCATGAATCCTAAGAACACTTCAAGGCTCCATATGATGAACTCAGCATAGAAATTCATAGAACTTCAAATCAACACCCTTATTTGGAATCATGATTGTTTTCAAACAATCACATGGCGTACAATTATGAAGTACACAGCTAAAAAACTTCAGATGTCTAAAAAGTTGATCTCACAAACCCTAAAAACACCTCGAGGTTCAATACGCATAGTACGAAGGACACGGTGAAAAACACGTAAAGCTGCATATGATATAGAATCGAAGTTTGATAAACGACTAACAAATGCTAATTTCAGAATATAAATTCATAAAACTCAAATCAGCAACCGTAACTTCGAATCAAACTTGTGATCAACAATCGCATGCCGTAAACTAGCAAATTACACAACGGAAAAACCTCGATCGCCTAAATTTGATTTCGCAAACCCTAAAATCACTTCAAGGTTCCATATAATACGCGAAAACACAAACTAGATTGTAAAAAAACAATTATAAACAGGAAAATGGATAGAAAAAGTAAAAGGAATACCGTCTTCATCAGGAACTTGAACATGGAGAAAAAGGAGCTTAAAACCGGAGGTATTGGAGCGAATGATCT